TCAGCAACTTAGAAAGACCCTGTTTCTAAATAAAAAATAAAAAGAACTCAGGGGATATAGCTTAGTGGCAAAGTACCACTGGGTTTAGTTCCCATTACCAAAAATAAATGCCATAAAAGTTTCAGGAACATTTTTCTGACCAGTTTTCTGTCTTTACTTCTACATTAAATTCAATCAGTTTTGTCTCCAGTCTGTGATCTAGCATTGTTTCTGGTTTTGTCTCTTATTCCCTTTCCTCGTTTGCCTATAGCCTCCCTGCTTAATCTGAACACATCTCATTATTACTTATTGTCTATCCTGACTCTTCATACTTGATCATGACCTTTGTTCCTACCATAGTCCTATCTCTCTCAGCTGACCTGTGCTAGATTTGTGTTAACATACACTTCTCTCCTCTTCCTCTTGAAGAAAATCCTACCTAATTTAACCAGTCCCAAGAATTTGATCACCCCTTATAATACTGAAACAGATTCTGCACTCTTGATAGGTATACTCTTTCCTATATGGGTCAGCTCACTACCATCCTCTATTTTCTGCATTCTCCTGAAACCATCAGACTCATTCTTAATAAGATTCCCACCAGTGGTTTGAATTAAGCACTCTCTTACCTATCTTGCCTCTAATCTTTCAGTCTCAGCTGCTCAGAGTCATCATAAAATAATTTTAAATGCAAGGTATTTCACAACTTGTTCCTAAACAAAATGGTTGCCAACTACCCATGGACTTTTCCCGTCTCTTTACTTTTGCTCTTCTACCAAGTTTTGAGATCCAACTGAACTGTTATATCCTGTCACTTAATCCTGTAAGCTCACACAGCACTTATTAAAATTTATATTATAGATAGATAAGTCACACTCCCACAAACCACACTTATTTAACTACAGCATAATCAGTTTTTAGAGAGGTCATGCCTCAGCCACCTTTTTTTGTCAGAAGTGTCTGCCACATTAGCTTATACCTTTGTGTGTAAATGTCAGTATGTTGGATGGATGAACTGATGGATGGATGGAGTTTAAAGTTAAGATGAGTAGATGAAAGTCTTACTACCCAAGCTGTCATGTGTAATCTTTACATTTGCATCTATTCTCCTTACTCATCCCCCAAACTAGTGCTCCAATTTCTAATATTTTTTGTACCTGTAAGCCTTTCCTAAACCATGGATTAGACCCTAAGTATTCCTTCTGCCTAAATTCCCTCCTTCAAACAGCTTAGACAGTCCTATCTTCCTGAAGACTTCACCTTCCAAAAATGTGCCCACAACTCCATTTCTTAATACTTCCACCAGTCATCTCAAACAGAAAAGATGCCCACATGCTTTTCCATTTAAAGACATTGACTTTATCAATATTAGAACCTCGTTATTGACAGTAATTACTAACTGTAGGTTAAAAGTTGACTTTTACAGCAAGTTCATTCTGATGATCCGTGGACTCCCTGTCAGTCCACAGTCTAAAGATCGTATTTAATACTGAAACTCTGATGTACTTGGTCAGTGTAAATTTGATGATCTGTATGCTTTTTACATCAGTATTTTTTGCTTTGTCAGGTCCCGGAACACTGGTTGTTTTTATTTTTCAACATACACACCCTTTTGACAGGCATGGCAAAAAGCCCCCAAAAGTATCTTCCCCGGCTGCTTTGTTCACATCAATATAAAAACCGTTTGCCCATGTCATCTTTACTGTTTTAATCCATAGCATCATATTCAGTGAGACTGCCTTTTGGACCCATTCATTGCAGGCTGCTTTGAGAAATATAACCCTAGAAAATAGGGCATGTGGGTGTGTTACTTGAAAATGTGGAGCACAGTACTCAGCATGGATGGTGCTTCCTAAGTAGTGATGGAAACTTCAAACTTGCACTACCCACTGATGTGGGTTTGCCTGCTCTTTCTCTCCCAGTTGCAGTCACATTTAGCTGCACCTTGAAGTTTACAGTCCGGGACTGTGACCCTAACACTGGAGTTCCAGATGAGGATGGGTATGATGATGAGTATGTGGTGAGTCGACCCTGCAGAGCTTTCACACCTTTACAACACTAAGTACTTATGCCTTGAAGTGTTTTTCTAGGAACAGCTGACATGAACCATGGGCTTCCTGTTGTTAAACAGATTACAGCTGACGATGACCTGAACTAATCCTATTCTCTAATGGGATTGCATTATGGCAAAGAGAATTAAAATTGACCACTTCAAGATTAGTTAAAACAAAGAAACTCAACCCCTTTTCCCCTTATATCTTGGTGTTCAAACTAAAAATGGTTTGGTTGATACAATGAGAAGTTACAGAGAATTTAAGGTGAACACCAAGATATAAGGGGAAAAGGGATAATTAAGAGATGGAAATAATTATATGATTTTTTCATGAGATTATAATATATGAGATCAGTTTTATTAAAAGTGGGTTGTATTATTTCTGCTTCAACACTTTTAGTTTGCTTACTGCCAGATCAGGGACTGAAAAGCCTTCACAGAAAGGAGGGAAAACTTTAAATAAACAAACAAACAAACAAACAAAAAAACCTGTTTGTGAATGTAATATTTAGAAGGTACTGAACAACCTGAAATGCATAGTTGGGTGTGGCAACAGGACTGCTGTGCACTTCAGGGCTACAGGTGGTGATCTGACGGATGTCCTGTTTTCTTACTTGCTTGTGTTAAGGCCTACAACATTAGGTTTATACAGACTACATAACTTAAACTATTGTGGTAACAGAGTTTTTCTTAGGCCCCAACAGGGATTTAACATAGAATGATAAATGATTATGTTCCTTCCCTCTTTGTTCTGTGCCAAAAAGGATTTTTATTTATCGATCCTTGCTTATTACCCCTAGCTGGAAGATCTTGAAGTGACTGTGTCTGATCACATTCAGAAGGTTCTGAAACCTAACTTTGCTGCCGCCTGGGAAGAGGTGGGAGATACCTTTGAGAAGGAGGAAACCTTTGCCCTCAGCTCTACAAAAACTCTTGAAGGTGAGAACAACTTTGCTGCCAGTGTTATTGCCTGATAGCAGTATCAACCTAATAGACATATATATTATTCCAGAACTCCTTTTTCTTTAAATCCTTCATAACTCATCTACTTAAAAGGCCAGGTTCCTGTCTTCATCATCTAATTAAGTCAACTATTTTCTAGGCCAGTACCCTCCCTATATGCCATCTATACCCCTGTTTACCCCCAGCTCCCAAGACACCCCAGAACAGCAGCAGATCACTGTGCTGAACTATTCTAATACTGTTGCAAAAACCTTCTCTACACAGAAGCTGTCAGCAATATCATCACATTTCTGGGCATGCAGCCATGTGAGAGGTCAGATAAAGTACCTGAGAATAAGAATTCCCACTCACTCTATCTGGCAGGTAAGAGACTTGGATCACATTTCTCTTAAATTTTGTCCCAAATTTAATAGGAAGGGATGTGGATGAGCATCCTGTGCCCTGCTATTGTCCATCATCCCATTATGTGAGCAAGAATTTGAAGTACAGTCAAAATGAATAATTTGTTTTGCATGCCATTCTTAGGTTCTTTTAAGATGTATATCTGGACCAAGACACTGAAGTCTCACACAGCTACCAGTGCTGCCTCTCCCTCGGTCTTTTGAATACTCCAAATCAATATTATTCAAAGCTTTCTGTGTGCCTGGTCTCATGGGACTATTGTTAAAAAATAGAATTTATATGAAGGATTCAATTCCCACAAATTTCTGGAAAAGCTAAACTAAAATAATAGAAAGGAGATGTAGGCAGAGCATGATAAATTTCATTATTTAGAGCTTGAGTTCTTAAATATGGTTTTCCTCACTTTTTTCCTCTCAGGTATATACAGAGGTGGCTTTGACTTATTGGTGAGGTCCAGGCTGGCCTTAGCAGATGGAGTGACCATGCAGGTGACTGTCAGAAGCAAAGAGAGAACACCTGTAGATGTTATCTTGGCTTCTGTTGGATAAGTTCTTACTGGGCAAGATGAAGTTGATGTGTATGTATGTACATCACTGTCAGAGAGCTTTTAGGCTAGCGGCATGAATTTCCCAAAATCACACTGTAAAGATTTAATGACTAACTGCTTGGCCCTGAGCCAGCAGATTAAGCCAATGTCTGTCCTTGTGCATGGGTTTTGGTGTTCTTTGGTTTTGGATTTTTCCTTTCTCACTTGGTCAGCTCTGGTATGACAGTGCAGCTTTGGGTGAGCTTGAAAATCAAATATTATCCTATATTCCAGCTGCTTAACTTCATTGTATTCTTTTGTTTAATGTGTGAAAGCTCCTGGCAATGTTGGAAAATTTTATCCCAAAGGGGTGGTGGGGGAGGGGAAGCCAGAATCCACTTTAGTCACAATTCATTTTTATTAATAGAAAATAAACACTTATTCCAGTTTCAAAGTTGTTATACTTGAAGTTCCTAATTTTTAAAAAACGAATTTAAAATTAATCACTTAATAATCCTACTTTGACTAAGACAATGAAACTGTGGCTTAAAAAAAACTATTCAGCACCATTTGCTTATAGGTCTTTGAGAATTTGTTCTTAAAGTGTCTGGGAACTATCCTGTCAGCTAAGTACAGGAACTGCTGAGCTGCATGAGAAAGCCTCTCTGGGACAGCCAATGGGAAGCTAAGCCACCATCACCAGAGGAGTCAGTGTACTTCAGCAAGGCTAACTCCGAGTATACAACAGTCCCCTCCCTACACTTCAGCCCAGGAGGGACATGCTTCTAAGCACTGAGGTATGAGTAGTTAGACTATTATTTGCTGTTAGAATTGATCTTTCCAGCTAATAACAGTAAATCTCTGGCACAGATGCAACTGGTTCTTAATGTCTGTGATTTTAGGAAATTCTGTAAATAATTTGGATTTAGTTTACTCAGAAATTACACGTTTAATAAGGTTCACTACTTTAGCAGAGTAAAGGTCTGCCATTTTAGTGTCCTTATAAACTATATACAATGTGTAGGCATATCATACTCTTATACCATACTTTAAAATACTGCATTACTTAAACAAATATTTTAACAAAATGTCTATAATTTGAAGCAGCTGATGAAACTAATCCAAGTATGACAAGGGATATTCACTCTCACTTAAACTATGTTGCCTAGAGAACTTTAAAAACCATGTACCCTTCAAGCCATTTAAGGAGAGATAACAGGCCCCACTCCTCATTCTCTACTGTGGAATTCCAATTCGGGTTGGGCCAGAAATTAGCACTTTCAGATACTTCAGGAAAGTTCCACAGAAGTGTTAAAAAGTCTTCTAAGCAAAAGAATGTCTAATGCCTGTCTCTATGCATCCATGAGAAGTCATGCTCATCAGAATTTCCTAATAACACAAAGACAAGTCTATATACTTCATCAGACATCAAAGGAATGAGGTGGGCTATTTTGTCAGAGTTTCTGCTGCCTTTTTTCTATATTCTGATCCATCAATGTGAGTAAAGTGGACTTTTGTGAGAAAACAGTGTTTGATTGCCAGGACCTCTTTTGGGCATTTCTTCCTAAGTGGAATACACAACAGATATGGGAGTCGGGGAGATAATACAGGGAAGCTACTCTTTCCAGCTCAGAAGGAGTTGATGAAGCCCATATATGCATTCAAGAAGCCCATGGGATCCTCTAGCTGTGGGTAGTGGCTAATGTGGTCATCCAGAATCGACACTGTGGACCGCGGCAGCGTTTTCCTAGTGGAAGAGAACAGCATGTAGGTGAACTTAAGGCTGGAGGGAAGGGAGGAGGTAAGCCAGTGGGAAGCCCCAGCAAATGCCCCTGCAGATATAGACCACACTAGAAGGAACCAACAAAAAGCTTATTCGCCTTCTACTTTGGAATTATCTAAGGCAGATAAACTTGCCAATTCCACTTATGCAGACTAGTTTTTAATTGTTCATAATTCAACAAACAACAACTTGAAAATATAACACTTTTGCAACAGTTGCAAAACAGGATGACTTTCAGCTCTTTAGAGAAGCATGAAGCATAGAACAAGTGGATCACTCAGCAACTCACTGCCCCAAGCAAAGATAACCAAGGACCATCCTTAATCTCAGGAGGCGATGAGAGAGGGGATTTTGACTAAAATTACAAGCAAGCCATCTACTACTAGGCCATATATGTCCACTAGGCTATAAGAAGGTATGGAACAGTCTTACGTGACATAGTCAAAAGATTTCATATTCCAACACCTTCCAAGTAAGTACCCAGAGAGCATAACAACTAATGAGAAGGCACTTTTCCTCTTAATCTCTCCTATCAGTCTACTCAGTTTAGGTCAACAAACTGGCTTTACAGTCAGATTAAAACAAACATTTAAGATATATCCACTTTCATTCCTTGGTTCACATGATAGCTTTTTCTTATCTCTATACCTAGGAATATGAAATAGCCGTAATAGTGAAAACAGGCTATACACAATAAGAGAATATATAACTCAGTTTCTTGATCTTTCCATGATATGGTTTCTGGATGAACAGCCATTGAGGTCAGAGACAATAGCTAGTGCCAACAGCCTCAACAGGTAATTCTGTTTACCCCTGTCAGGATGAAATACTGACAAAACACCTCTAAGCAAGACTCACCTGTACAGCTCCAAAAACTCTGGATAGGGATTTATAGGATCCAATGGCCCATAGATAAAATGAACTAAGAAACAGAAGAGGGATGAATTACCAACAGCTCTCATTTCTGTTTTCCTACTGCCATCCTAAAATTAACTCCCCTACCTCAAAAAAAAAAAAAGATTTTCTGCAAATTAAACAAATTTTTTTCTTATAGGAAACCTAGCAACCAAGTCAGTTGTTTCATTTGGCACACTTTCTCCTATATACAGCCATTTTATCCTTCCAGGTCTTCTGTTCCTGGACCAAAAAGAATAAGCTTTCAACATTCTCATTTTGTAAATCCAAGATACTGTCATAGTTTAAGTCTCTACAGTTATTTGACATCAACCAATAATTTCTTGAGCACTAACTACTGTATGTGAGGCCTATGTCAATATTTTCATTCTGTGAGAATGAAGACACCAATGAGCTCAAACCACCTATAGCCTCTTGATTAGTAATCTCAACAGCCTCCTGTCAGTAGTTCAGCAATGCCAACTACATGTTTCAGTGGTTTATACATTTGACTCTACATACATCACTGGTGTTCCAGATGTTAGAAGTAGTGTTGCTAATGAAATAAAAGGACACCAAGTTAAATATGAATTTCAGGTAAAAAACAAAAATTTTGGTTTTCTATGTTGATACTAATTCTCAAAATATAGTTACTGTTTAGCTAAAATTCAGATTTAACTGAGTTGCAGTTATTTTAACTTAAGTTTTCCTATCAAAAGTAATGTAAGAATACTCACTGGGAATAGTTACAGAGGCAAGAGCTCCCACCCAGCGTCTTCTAAACTTCTTCCTCTGATTAATGTACTGTAAGAGACTATAGGACAGGTAAGTCAGCAGGAGCAGAACAAGAAACCTTGATTATTAGTGGAACTCCAAAGCCTGATCTGAGCCACAAGGAACACTTTTGCATCTGGAAGCAACTTAGATGTCCTGGGAATGGCCACTTTATCCATTTGTATTAAGTACCCTCTGGCTACAGCAGTGATCATACCTCTCATATCAACAGAAGCACAAATGGGCCTATGCATTTATTAAGCAGGGATGAGAGCTCAGGAAGGCTGAAGGTTGTTTTGGAGCATATGTGACTAAAACCTGGACTTAAGGTTCTGATTTTAGCTCCACCACTAACCAGCTCAATGACTCAAAGTTATAACACACATCTTCTGATCTCAGTTTTCTTTTTTTTAAAATAGGAGGAATGAACTACATGATCTCTAAGTTGACATTGTCCTCTAAAATTAAATGTAGAAGCTCATGAACATAAAATGTCATCTCTGTACTTCATCTGATCACAGACAGAATGGGGAGAATTCCTTTTCCTAAAGTGCAAAATGTTGTAGCCACATTTCAGCTCTCAGACTCATGTACTGTTCTTCCTGGCAACTCCAGAATGATGATGATGATGATAATAATAATAATAATTATTATTATTATTATTATTATTTGTGAACCCAAATATCACCTTATTATTTACTTTTTTGAAGAATAAATTTTAAGGAGATCATGTTTGTTCTTCAGTTTTTTATATTAAAACTAATCTTGAAGGATTTCACAGGGACTTAGGTTAGGAGAGAGGAATGACTCCTGCTAACACACAATCCCAGCAAAGCCATCAGTTAAAACACTGATGCTACTTGACCCCACTGATAAAAAAGACAGGGCCTCAAGTAGTTATGGATATTACCATCTCTAGGTCCCTCAGTGAGAACCAAGGCATGGCAGTTCTTGGTATAAGACAGAGAAGTCTTGCATCTCATTCCCTGTTGCTATTGAAAAGATATGCAAAAGAAAGAGCCTTGATACTTTTTTGAGAGGTACTAGGCTCTTTTCACAACTATGATTGGACATTTTGAAGCATTAACAAAAACATCTAAAGTATATCAGTCAATTAGCATTAGAATTCATAGCTATTTATCCACCCTTCTTGCACCAAATGGCTTAGGCACAGGGCTCACCATATCTATTTATTTCTTTTTGAAAAGCAGAGACCAAGACCAGTTTTCGGTTTGCCTCATAGGTCCTAACCAGCCTTCTTGTGATAGGAACAAGTCATCAAATAGAAGCAATCTTGCATCTTGCCCCACTTTCCGAAAAAGCCTCTCCAGAACCCAAAGGAAAGGTTTATTTCTTACCTGTCAATCACCAAGTTCCCGTCATTGTTTCGGATCCCTGCCCACATATCCCACAGCTCACTCTCGGAGGGTCGAGTGTATGGTCCAAAGACTGGAGTAAGACTGAAAAGAGGCCAGAATGCAGGAAGATAAGTGTGGAGAGAATTCAGAATGTTAAATATGGCTGGAACCTCAGAGGTCATGAAGTCTGACCCTTAACTGATTTATGAATTCCTTCTACTACTTTCCTGGCAAGTGGCCAACACCTTTGCCTGAATATCTCAAACCCCAGGATTTGGCCCTGAATTGTAATGGCAGCAACTTTTCACTACAGCGTTCCCAGGCCATACTCCATCTTTGATAACGACTTACCCTCGAGAAAATACAAAGAAATTCATCAACCTCGTGAGGATGGGTGACAGCACACCTCCATCTTTAAGTAGCTGTAGATAATAAGTGAAAGTAAAAATCAAGAATCCAGAGAAACCAACTCATCAGGACAAAAAGTTTTATACTAGGAACTAAAAAGCTCCCCATGAAAAGTTCCATGGTTAGCTTCAGTTTTGTTTTGTCTACCCACATTATTCTCTCACAGAAGACAAATATATTTCTAATTATCATTACGATTACACTTCTATACTTCACTAAACCCCTAATATGCTTTTTTCTTTTTTTTTTTTTAAAGAAGCAGTACCTCAGGCACCGTGGTGCACATCTGTAATCCCAGTTACCTGGGAGGCTGATGCAGGGGGATTAAAAACATAAGGCCAGTCTGAGCAATAGAGTGGGACCCGTCTCAAAAAAAGAAAAGAATCAGAGTCTATGTTGCCCAGGCTGGCCCTAAATTTCTGGGCTCAAGACCTTCTCCTAGCTCAGCCTCCCAAGTAGCTTGGGACTATAGGTGTACTCCGTAGCACCTGGCCATAAATCCTTAGGGCTTTTAACTTTTGTGTATTCAAGCTTAGACCAGGATCCCAGTTTGTTCAGATATCATACTTCATACTTGTGACACAAATCTTTATATAGTTGTATTTCTCCAAATATCTATTCATCTCTCATTCTCAGAAATAGTTTTCAGTTTTATGTAGGAGCCACTTCCACTGCTTTGTTTGCCTAAGAAGGGGAAAATTAACTTTATTAAAGTGAATTCATAAGGAGGAGAAAACTTTTAAGGGTTATACCTGCTGTAATGAGCTACAGTTAAAAGGTCTAGTTTCCTTAATATCAACACAAGCCTTAAAATTGAGGACCTATTCAGGGAAGTAGCCAACCTTTTGGAGAAGGAGAGGCCGATGAGTCTCAGGAAAGATACCTGTAGAAGAAGAGATTTCTCTTAGTCATTTACCATCAACTTTTAAGTCAAAAGTAAGACTGTTATCAGAAAGTATCCACCCTATCCGTTGTCACCTTTTGGGCCGTTAGCCAAAATGGATACACAAATAAAACTTAGTACAGCCACGCACTACATAACAAATTTCAACCAACAGCGGACTGCATATATGTGTATCCCCCTCGTTAAGCAAGGCATGACTATTATTTTCTATGATTACTTCTCCAGAGTGTTTTGTGTTTACCTAATTAAATTATATCCTACTGGAATTTTTTCCCCCATTTTAAGGGTAGGGAAAAATAATTACACAACTATCCATAATGCTGATGACTAGGCTGACTCCACTTAGCATTTCCTCCCACCACACAGAACACAGTGTTGTTAATGATTTGGGCTGCAGAAACACAAGATTCTTTCAGTAAGTGAAGGTCCTAAAAGAAAATTGGGGGGGGGGGGGACAACTAGTTTTTTCTTTTCCATTTCTCTCCAGAATCAATGGAAGAAAGACATAAATATTGCTGAAAAAGGAACAGACTTGACTCTTCTCCCAAGCTGCCCTTCAGGCATTCAGGGGACATTTGGATATTCATGGATTTAAAGCTGTGCTCAATGGCACACAAAGAAAAAGAAACATTTCCAAAAGTTCTAATCTGGGGCCCACTGATTTCCTCCTGAAACTTGGTATTGCCATCAAATAAGAATTTTAAGACTCTATGGTATCTATAACTTATTTTTTTCATAACCTGCTATAGTCATTACAAATACATCAAAGCAGCACTTACCCTCCTCATTACTTCTAATCAGAGTGCTACCAGACCCATCATTAGATCTCACTGTGTAATGCACTCCAAAAGCAGTACATATTACTATGATATAGGTTCTTATTGACTGTATGTCAACATAATTACTTTCCTTTGTAAGCCTATTTATTTTTCTATATTTAAAATCATCATTCTGAAAAGGGGTTCATAAATGTCATCGACCACCAAAGCAATTCACGGCACAAAATACTGTGTGTGCTTGCAGTATCATCAGATTATACTTAGATGTCCCTATATCATCTAAAGGTGGCCCTCCTAGGCTATGCCCCACTTTTCCACCCTCTGCCAAGACAGACAGTTACCTCCATTTGACAGACAGAGACTCTTTATAGTAAGCCGGCCAGATCGATTTTGCTTGTACCTGGAGCAGGGGATGAGGAAACACACACACTTAGCTGAGCAGACTGACACCAGCGCAGCAGCCGATCACAGCGCCCCCCCCCCCCCCCCCCCCGGAAAAGAATAGCAGGGGGCCAGGAACAATTTACTTTCCCAGCATCTTAAGCTAGTGTGCAGCCTGTGAAGAGGATAGAAATCTGGCTTCACTGACCTATACAGCAGCTCCTGAGCAACAATGTCTCCATAGTCGTGAGACAACAGGTTGATCCTACGGTTCTGGAGTCCTAGATGGCGCAAAAGCGCCTCCACGATGCTGGCCTGCTCAAATATGGAATAGTGGTGTGGTCTCTAAGAAAAGGAAAGGCCAGATACACAGGATAAAGGATAAAGTCATGTACAGGTCTCTCTGCCAGCCTGACCCCTCCATCCACATCCTCCCCAGTCCCAATACTGGTTCCATATAGGTGCTTCTCACCGGTTTGTCACTGAAGCCAAAGCCTAAGAAGTCAAGGGCAATCACTCGATGAAACCTCAGGGTCAGACCTTCCCAAATCTATAAGAAAGAAAGGATGGTTTGGATTTTCTGCTCCTGCGCCGCGCCACCCCTCCCGTGACCCACAGCAGCACAGAAGCTTCATCCCTATCCCAGCTTTACAGATGGACTTTGATAAAGTGAAAACCTAATGAAACTACCACTAGCCACCCCCGAGTTGATCCTCCTGGAAAGTGCTTGATTCCTAGTGATTAATCTATTGAAGGTGAAGCTCCAGCATTGTTAACTTCGCAATGAGCCTTTCCAGACTGCCAAAGAGTTTTTTACTCCCTTACAATAAATGAAACAGTTAGATGTTTAATGCTATTTCATAAAGTGATTTAAATTTTCAAGAGCCTTGTAGTGCTAACAAGAAAATCCTTGATTTTTGTATTTTTGAAGACATAGTAGGACCTAGAAATCTGACTTCATTACCTTGTACCAGTCATAGCTGGAAGTTGGAAAGCCATGTAAAAGCACAACTATCTCAGGACTGCCAACCACACCCACAGAGTCTGGAAAAAAAGGCAGATCGATTAGGCCAACTCCCTATAAAAATAACTTTGAATATGTTAAAATCTTAACTAATATGGTATAAAGGACAAAAATCTATAACCAAGTTAAACTGATATATTGCTTTTTAAAATGAAAGCTAATTGCTTCAAGTAATAACAGGCACTTTTTAATCTGTGTATTGAAAAATTATAAATAGGATACTTCCTGTGAAAATATGAAGGTAGCTTGCTTTACTTAAATTTCCTTTGAAAGGCGTATCTATATCTCCCTTTACTTTATATTAAGTTAAAATACAAGCTTATTCACAGTAAAAAGTAAACTTTCCCAGTTAAAAATATATCATCAACACATAAACTAAAATTTTTTTGTAATTTATCAGTAACTTATTGCAAAAATTCTATAATACTGAGCAATTCTTCCTGTGAGCACTTTATAGTTTTATGCTGTTTTAGCAGAAGAAAACCAATCTGGTATCAAAAGCATAATGTTCAAACTATTATACAATTCTATCGACTACAAAAAAGCATTAATCAATACACACAGATAGGAACATTTTTTAATGCATATGATAACATGGAATAATTATACATCTTTCAGATTAGCCAGATAGACAATAAAATGCCTTACTAATAATACTGGATTAAAATGAATACATTTATATACTGCCAGTGGCATGAAAATTCAATAATAAGATTTTTAAAAATAATTTACAGCAATTAAAAATGTTATATACTTTAGCCAAGGAGCTTTATTCTTAATCTATACAAATAATCTGTACAACAACAAATATTGAAGATCTGGAAATAAACCAAACCAATATAATATATACTTACTTAATTGAATATAGCAAATGAGAGGAGGTCAGGAGCAATAATGAAAAACGGTTTATGACAAACATTTTTCGTTATTGCTCTTGACCCCCGCCCAAAAGAAATCTTTTCCAGTCTGTTTCCCAGTTTCTTCACCTATAAAATGAGATTAATGGCACCTATCTCCAAATGCTGTTGTAAAGATTCAAAGAAACAATGAAGGTTGAAAATGTAACTCGATGCCTGGCATATGGTTATTACTTAGTAAGTACAGTCATAGTAATTATCCTTAGCAAATTAATTTATACAACAGTATAAGACTTAAATCACATTTAAAAATCTTTATAGAAAACAATTCAATAAAATTAAATCAGGAATTGGGGGGAGAGAAACAATGGTAGTTACATCTCTGAATATTGTACATATAACCTGACACTAGGGGTGCTCAGAAGAGAAAACTAATATCTGAATACAAATCAAGCCACACCAAAAAAAAAAAAAAAAAAACTTACTAAAAAGTCGTATACAGAGATTGGACTCTTAATTCCAACCCCCACCCCCACAGCTTTCTGAGTCTCCCGGCTCTCCAGTGAATGAGGGGAATTAATCCATGCCCCTCATTCCTTCAGGGACACTAAACAGAGAAAGGGGTTACTCCCCTCCATCACTAAGGGGCAATAGAGACCAAGGGACACAAAATAAGCACCTTGGCTGGGACCTACGTGGATCACACCTATAGGGTATTCCAGTAATCCAGTTCTTACCCTGGTAGAAGATGCGCAGTCCCTTGTAGGTGAAAAACTTGCCAGAAGTCTTCCATGAGTGCAGCGCAGGAGACAGCTGAGGGGGTGGGATGTGCAGGTATGCGGCCAGCAGGGGCACAGCCAGTAGCCCCACCTGGACCCACCACTCCCTCATCCTGTGGGAAAAGCAGTTGGGGTAATATGGTACACTTCCACAACCTGAGCTGGAAGCATGGAGAAGGAAACTTTTGTACCATACAGTGACTATATTGCCCACCAGCCCCCCACCACCACCACCACCAAGGGCAAAAAGTTTTATCAAGTAGAATTGGATCACACCTCTGTGGCTGTGGCAATCACCATAATTTGCTCACCACTCTACTTTTAAGGGGAAAATATATTATTTCAGTATGTAACCTTCTACCTACCTTCAGCCACTTTAACCCCTCAGCTTCCCCATACACACACACATACCTTTGTGCACTTCCTGATATCTGCTAAAGAGGTTTCCCAAGGAAAAATATAACTTACTGTATATTATAAAAACTCTAACACCTATTCAACAACTCCTAATGTTTAAAATACATATACATGCTACTAATGTCTTAAAATGTGTGTGTGTTTGTGTGTGTGAGAAAGAGAGACTGACTTATCACATGTCCTTAAATAGAGAGCTGCTTCTGATTTTAAATACTTGTCAACCCTCTGATTCAAGTGAAGCTCCCTTTAGCACTACTGTCCAGATTTGGGCTGAGAAACCATTTAGGGTAAAGAGTCTGTAAAAGCAACAAGACAGCTGCTCTACTGTATATTCCAACATAAGCAGCTTTGTCATGAGCCTGCATATCTAATCTCTTAAAAATAAGTATGGGCAACAGATTATATTCCTCCTTTTCTTAGCAGACTCATTTAGTTAATTTCATGACACCCCCCACCACCACCCCAACCCCCACCACCACCCCAACCCCCACCACCACCCCAAATCCGACAGACCCAGCATGTGAGAATTGTTTTTTCTCTTTGGAAAGAAAGCACTGGTTTCTACACCCAGCCTTGCCATGCCCAAAACTTCAAAGATCCAGATAATTCATGCACACTGAATTAGAAACTGTTTCCTTGTCCAGTCTGCGACTCCCCATGGTCACCAGGGAAAGAATTCCCAGTTGTTTTATCAAACAGCCAGAATGGAAACAATATCCTCCAAAACTTAAATAAGAGATGTCAATAAAATTGTCATTAAAATAGCCACAAATAAAGGAGATCAATTGCTCACACCTTGGTGAAACCGGCTTTGCGTCTATGCGCTCACCCTGCCATTGTGTTACCCGTAATCTGGCCACAACCCCTACCCAACGTGAGCAAATTCATTCACAAAAATGCCTTTTTTTTTTTAACTAAAAAATATACCCATGATTCCACTATGCTAAAATAACCATGTCCCTTAAGCTCAGTTCCCTGCATATGGTTTTTAGCCATCACTAGGGTAGTCTTCCTCGCCCCTGAAGTACCTGCCTATAAAACAGAAACCAAGATTTAGTTCTACCTTTCATGGTAATAATAGAAACGATTGGAAAAGTGCTGGAACAAGAGGGTTATATCACAATCTGCGCCGCGCAATAGCGGCAGGCTACATCCCAGTACCGCCTCCTAAATAACAACAACAACAAAAAAAATTGATTTTCGTTATCATTTTCTCAGTGCTATCTGCCCTATACCTCAATTCATTTATTTTTCAAATCATCTCTCCTGGCATCCATTCACAGTCCCAGCAGCAGAATCTGCAGTGACTCAGCAAAGCACCAGGGAGGGGCTCCTTTGGCAGCAAACCATGAGAGGGGGAGGGGACCAAAAACCCCACGCCTGATACCCACGTTGCGCTCCTGCACAACCCACCGCTGGCCCTCTTTTACTCTGAGAAAGCAAATCAGCCCCTTACAGAGTTATTCTCGGTCTTAATTGCCTCGGTAAAATTGCTCCACCGACATTTTAGAATTTTTAGTAGTGAAGCGAGTACGTAGATAAAATGGATTAACATTTTAATCCATTTTTTGGTCAAATTCCCATTATTTGATGGAGTCATGATTCAGAGTATAAATTCAACAAACTCCAGTGAAAACTATGGAAATTAACCTGAGCCTTGATTTCTTCATGTTGTACATGGGAAAAATGCATTTGTCTAATATTACCTGACGGCATCGCTGTGAGAGGACGAACTGCTCTGTAAACCCGCTAAATCAAACATTGCCGGTTACAGCATGACAGTTTGGTTGCATCCCCATTACCCCTCGCACGTCTCGTTACTGACCTCTGAACAATACTTAACATCTTGGAGATACAGCGCGGCAAGTTCTAGTCACACCTTTGCGGTAACACGCCACCGAGACGCCAGGATCTGGAAATCTTAAATTGCGCTACTGCAATAGCGGGGTCTAAATCACACCACAACAATACCAGGGGTCTGGAAATCATAAATCCAGCAGGGCAGTACTGGGGTCTAGAAACCCCAAGTCACAAACCAGTGAGGGTCGGGTCTAAAAATCTTAAGTCACACCGGGGCATTACCAGGATCGAGAAATCATAAGTCACGCCACAGCAATGACTAGATCTGGAAATCCTAAATCACACCACGTCAATGGTGGGGTCTTAAAAATCGTAAACCACACGAGTGATTCCAGGATGTAAAGGTCGTAAGTCACCACTACAAAGATGACCGGGTCTAAAAATCCTAATTCGCAGCAAGGCGATACCGGGGGTCTGGAGATCATACATCATATTGGGGTGAGCTCATGGTCTAAAAATCTCAAACCTTACTGGGGCGACCCCGGGGTTTAAAAATAAGCCAGAGAGACCCCAAATTTGAAACGCTCTACGGCTGACAGAAGTGACCCCACTAACACCAAGGAGACAGAACGGTGGCTGGCTGGGTGGGGTTTTCTTTACAAGGCAGCTGGGCTCTGCCAGGCAGAGTCCCCAGCATCCGCCAGCACCCGAGACTAGGATCAGCCGGCCACACCCCCACGCGCCCTCCACCGCAGCCCGCACGCACCCACCTGCGGAGGCGATCTCGGCGCACCATGGCCGCGTTATCCCATGCCGCCCGCCGCAGGGTTGCAGAGCACTGGGCGCGCTGAGGCGCCTGCAGCTGTGCGAGGTCGGTGGCGGCAGGAACGCTGCCCACCGCCGGCACAGGGCAGCCGGCAGCGGCGGCAATGAGCGGCCACTTGGGCGATGCGGCACTGCTCCGGCTGGCGAGGCGCGGCTGCCGCAGAGGAGGTGCCCGGGCTGCCGCCGCCTGCCAGAAGGCGCTGAGAAGTGCTGGTGGCCGCAGCAGTGCCGAGCGAGCGGGCACCGACTTTTAGAGCCCACCCGCGCCCCGCCCCTGGACCGCCCACCACACCGCAGCGCCCCTCCCGAGCGCGCCAGCCGCAGAGCCCCTCCCTGCAGCCCTGCCACCGCCGCAGTGGTGGGGTGCCCCCCTCACGCGCCTTCAGAAGTGTGGATCGCCCCCAGCACCCCACCGCTTCCTCGCAGACCCCAAACCCTGAGTTCGTGATTGTGCTGCAGAACCCTTCCTTGGAAGTTAAGGCCTCAGGCAAAGATGGCAGAACCCTGAGACCCCAAAACTCCCCTTACAGTAACCACAGGCCCCAGCCTTAGAGGGTGGCCAATTGACCTAAAGGAGAACAGGGCTGTGGTCCTTGCCGCAGCGCCTGTTTGCATTCAATGCCCAAAGTGTGGATGCCAAATCCTATGAGTGCCCATGTCCGAAAGAGCGGACCACGAGCACCCAACATCTCCCAAGTCTCTAAGTATGGGTAATGACCAAGGGAACCATAAGCTCTGTGGGACTCTCCAGGTTAGGGGGAACATATAGGATGGCTGCTACGGAGCAAAGCAGGCCAAAGTTGCACAAAGTGTGGTTTCCTTCGGGCAACCGCAGCAGTGCGGGACACGTTTCCTCTACAGCAGTGCGACGTGGTTGGCATGCCGGAGGCCACCGCAGCGCGGATTCCGCGCGCGGCACTGGACCTGCCACACAATCAGGGCAGCAAGACCCCCTTTACGTGCAGCAAATCACAATGCAGAGACACCAAAGGTGCAGGAAAGAGGAAAGGGATTTTCTTTAACCCATAGTCCTTTAAAAGGCATCTATTACACCTTTAAAAAGAGAAGTGTCGAGCATCAGAGTATCTACATACATTTTCTGGCTATAAATTGAAATTTTGATGGCCGCGCTCAGGCTGAGCGTTAACAAGCGAGGCTGCAGCCCAGAGCCGGCCGGTCCAGCGGGGGCGCTGCAGACCTCTGTTCCGCACCGGGCAGAAGCCTTTCCAATACTTGGCAGAATCTTAGGGCAGCAGTGCAGACAGCACCACTCGGCAAAAGGCTGGCCACAGGGCTAGCCGAGGCTGCCGGTATCTAATCACACCAGGAGCCTAGGGCCACCCACCAGACTCTGTAGACACCAGCCATAGGAACAAGTCATCAGAACGTGTGGCGCATAGAGGGTATACCTACCAGGGTCTGATTAAGAGGGGCATGAAACAAATGCTTGTTTAGCCGGGTACAAAATAAATGAGAAAGGGCTCCTGCCCCAGAGAAGGACACTGGCCATCTGGAGGTGGGGGGAGAGATAAGAATTGATGCTTTTAAAAATTTCCTTTTGATTTCCTAGCAACATTTTGTTACAGATCGGCGCCCTCCTCCCCAACGGGTAAGGCCCTCAAAGACCAAACCCAAGTGTTATTCACCTTTTGTATCCCCAGAGCCCGCCACGGTGCCAGTCACAAAGCAGGCCCCTAACAAATACTGCATGAATAAGTACAAAAATTTGAGGGCGCAAAGGGGAGGAAGTAATTAAGAGGAGGGGGGAAGGGTTGTCTTGAATGATGAATAGACATTTACCGGGAGAGACAAAGAACATTCCAGCCAGAGGGGACTGCATTCGCAAAGCACGGGAGGCTCAGGACGGCACAACCATTGGGGAAAAAGGCACGACCTTCGGGCCCCGGGCCCCAACGGACAAAAAATTAGGCTAGAAAGAGTAGTCCATCGGAAAGAGGCTGGAATTTGTCCTAAAGAAAAGGAGAAGCCACAGATGGATTTAAACCCTAAAAGGCCTTAATTGGTTACCTAACAAAATTTAAATGAGTCTCTTTACAAATTGAGGATTACCTATACTAACTAGCCACTGCCACTTTTTAAAGACTGAATTACTCAGCAAGATTTAAACTGGTCCTTTCAACAAAGTAAGGACATTCCTATTTTAACTATTGAAAACAATAGCAAGAGCCTCTGCATTATATATTTCTCATATTTATCCTCAATGGAACTTCTGAGTCCTACAAACAATTCCATACTTTCATTCTCACAGGCCAGAAGCACCAGCATCCAAGATGAAGGCAATTTTCTAATTAACAGACTAAGTGCCCCACAAAGGATCCTATTCTGAAGGCCACAGAACATATCTACCCACATGGAACAAGTGTGTAGACTGGGGGAGAAACAGTGTAAGCCCCTAGGGGAAAAAGGAGGGCCAGGGAAAGCTCCCAAAAACTAACAGAAATCCCAAATCTGATGGTGAGGAGAAATCCTCCCCGCACAGAGTGACTAGGAAAAACTTCTTTGGAGAAGGAGAATGGAGGTCGATAGCCATGGAGCCCAGAACTTGGTTAAATAGAAAAAGCATTCCAGTTGGGAAAAATCTCTGCACAATAACAATGAGTCGGAAAAATGCAGAGCATGCTATGACAGATCAGCTTGGTTAAAGCCGGGAATTTGCCTTCGGAAATGGAGGGAGAAAATGCTGACCATGATGCCCCAGGAGTCAAAGAGTTAAGGAATCTTCTAGTGGTGCCCGACTTAATTCCAGAAGGAAGCTTCTCTGCAGAGGGAGAATCTGGCCCGAGGTATGTAACCCTTGGAAGTGCCTGAGAAAACAGACCGTACATAAATACTAAGTCAGCCTCTGGCTTGCTCTCAGGGCACCCCTTCAGTTCTTCCAAACGGAACCTATCTTGACCAACATCACATGCAGCAGTATTTCCTCAGACAACAGCTTATCAGACATTCCTATCACATTCCAATTCTATCACAGGTCCACATCACAGTAAGACCTCAGATTTGTGCAAAAATTAGTGTAGAAAGCTCTGCATTTTCCATCTCATTGATGCACAACAGCGTTAGGAAATCATCAGGGCTGGTTCCACGGGCTCAATAATCATATTTTTCTAACCTCAATTTTGGACCCAAATTCAAGGATATTTACAAAAACAGCATAGAACTGGGGCTGCCACTTTTAAGAGCAGTAATTATAGATCTGAATAAACTAAAAAGGTGCAAAATGGAAGAAACCTGAACAGCAGCATTTTGTAAAACTTAGGATTTCAGTTAACAAAAAAAGTTTAGTAAATCAATGGGATACAGGTCCAAAAAAACTACTGTGATTGTAGACTATAGAGAAGTATTCAAAATAAGCTAATCCTACACTGTTCTGCTAGCTAGACCTCACAGAGAGTATTTTATTCTGTTCTACAAAGCAGATATTAAGACAAACAGACAAACAGCAGTGTGTTCAGAGATCAACTAAAATGTACTGCAAATCATGTCATAAAAAGTGTAACAGCTCTCATACTTTAAGCTCCTACTATGAGCATGGATCATCACCCAATTTATCCCTAATCCTCTCGGGAACCCAGCTAAATGAGTATTTTCATTCACACATCTCAGAGAAAGATATAGCAGCTCAGAGCGCTAAGTGTTAGTATGTGAAGGGACTGGGAACGGAATCAGATGTGTCTGGCTCCAGAACTGACGTTCTTTCCACTGCCCCACATTGCCTCCCTGTTTGAAATAACTGGGCATGTTTAGTTTGAAGAAAAGAAGCCTTGTGGAGTGAGTGGAAGAAGGAAATGTGTTAGCAGTCCTCAAATATTTGTGGAAGCAGCATTAGACATTTTACTCTGTATGGCTCCAGTGAGTGCAAACTGTGGAGAAACAGATGTCGATTCAACATACAGAATTTTCCAACAGTCAGGAAGGAGTGTCTAGAGGGATGAGGTGGCTTGGCCATTTTGGGACATGACAAATTCCCTGTCACTAGAGGCTGGGTAACCCTACGGAATGTATGCAAGCTCTGGGTATGTGGCTGAATGACCTTTAAGTTCTTTTCGTTCCTGATAGAAACTAAAGTTCAGAGAAGTGTTGGAACTTGGCCAAGGTGGTCCTTCTACCCAGGAGACAAGTCTCCCTCAGCCCAGCACTTTTGTACAACAGACTGCTTTCATGCTGAGGGCAAGACAAATTGAATAAATTACCAATAAAATCACATCATCCTCTCTCTCAAATTTAACCAACATATTCCTAAAGTGACTATTGTCTTTCTCCCTCTTTGGAACCATATGTGGATAACAATCTCTGCAGGAAATCTCCAAAGATAATGGTAGAGGGAAACAACACAGCTGAATAACCCCTGTAACCAGGATCTGATGAACCAAAAAAAAAAAAAAAAGGACAGATACTGTAGTTGTCTCCATATATTACAGAATTACTGGGCACCCCTAAATTATCTTTACACACTCTCTACATTACTTCACACACCCCACAATCCCAGGACTGGGACTACTACCCCATAATTCCACTCCTCGAGGTCATTTTAGCCACTCTAACGGATAAATAGGTTGAAGGATCCTAACACATAATAGTATCTTACACGTGTTCAGCTCTTTGCCCTTTCACATATCTCATCTGCCGCTCACCACAGCCCTCTAAGAAAACCTTCTTTCGGACAGACAGGCAACTTCTTCCTAGCTGCCCGGGAAGAATGCTACAGCACACGGCTCCTTTCCCCCCATTACTTTCCATATTAGATTATTCCTCCTAGCCTGGATGAGTCAACCCACGAGCAGGTGTTTCGGTTTTCCTCAACTGCTCTCGTCACCTCACACCTTTCCCAGCTGTACTGCCCCACCGCCGCCTGGCAGGGCCCCCGCCCACGCCACCAGTGCAGCTCTCCTGCCCTGGGAGCCCCAGCCCGTCCTGTGCTGCCGCTGCAGCCGCAGCGCTCGCCCCGGGAAGCCCCCACGCGCCAGGCTGCAGCGCACCCGCGCTCCTTCCACCTCCCACGCTGGCCCCCGCCTCGCCCTCCACCCCTCGGTCACATCGGTGTGCCTGCGACCTTTCCAGACACAAAGGCCGATCCCAAGAGGGAAAGCGCAGCCCCCCAGGGCGCCCGGGAGGGCTGGTCAGGCTGCCCAACGGAAAGGGGAAACGCTGGAGGGGAGCCAGGCCTCGGGCGATGGCTGGGGCCCTTTTGTGTTCTGGTCCA